AACACAAGGATTACAGGATGAGCGTTTGATAGAGTAGAAGCAGCCAGAAACTTAGTGACAGAATTTTAGTGACATTCATCAGAACCTTTTTTTAATAACAAATGTTACAAGTGTTGGAGTTAAGTGCATATGTTGGGCTGAAGACTTCACTGTTTGCACAGCTTGCTGTGACAAATGTACTCGTTAACAAGGGGCATTTACTCAGCAAGATATTAGTCCTACCTCTTCTTACTGAATAATAATTTAAAAAATTTTTAATACTCTTTAGTGTGCTAGTTCTTTTTAAAGACAGTATTACTTGGTATAGTTCATGAGTGGTTAGTCATCAGTTCTACAGCATTTAATTATAAATTTAATGTCTTATATGTAAAAATAAATGATAAATAGTACAGCAAAGGTGGGAAAGCAGATGTACACTTGTGCACTTGTACAAAATTTTCTCTGCAGTTAGTGGAACTTACTACCATTGCAGGCTTGTTCTAGATAATCTCTTTGAAAAATACAACAACAACAACAACAGAAAGGAATGCTTTTATGTTGAAAATAACCAACTTTTAAAGATGTCAATTTAAATGACATTTTCTTCCTAAATCGCTTTGTGTTGTCTGCCTTCCTTGTTTTAACTTACTTTTCTATTATTACTACTCAGGAAATAAAAACAGATGGAAAAATGGGCTACATAAACACTCTTGTAAATATCTAAGTAAATTGATTAAATGCCTTCTTAAGTGTTACATGTAACTATTTCAGTTTTATTGTAGTTTTCTAATGCTGCTGTTTTTTCATGAAGGTCTGGCTGTTAGAATCAAGGAATTTTGTGATCATCTAGGCTATAAATTAAAGACACTTCAAAACTGAGGGTTTTTAGTTGTGCAATGAAGTATGAAACACAAAGCAGGAAAACCCTAAATGCAACTGAAGGAGAAGTAAAAGTAAATACGTAAATGCACTCCCACTTGATTTCAAAATTGCAGTGCTTTTGAAATCATAATTCTTTTGTGGGTCCTGACATATGAGTTCTGAACACTTGGGGTTGGCAGTACTTCAACAATAAGTTTAGAAAGACTATCAAATTCATATCCTTCTCTTACGTTTATTTAGTCCAAAAATGCTTGCTTCATTTCCTAGGGTATTGTACCTGTAACACAGATCAGGGCCTGAATGGTGGAAAATATTTTGAGGTTCTGACAAGTCTTGGTCTGCAGCGCACTAGAAGTAATGGATGTCCTGATGGCAAACTGGTGCAAGTTTTTGAAAGGAGAAACATATTTACAGTCAATAAATGACTTAACTGAAGCATTAGTTTGTGATTAGCTGTGTGTTTGTGTGATCTTGTAGATGGTACACCTCCCCTGCCACTATAGCTGTACTTGTTCCCTGAAATAGCCCTAGTGTGATTCATGTTTCAGGTTGGATGTGTGAGAGTTTGATTGAAATGCAAAACTGAGAGAGTTCTTTTGAATGTTAAAAAGGAAATGTGCTCAGAAATAGGGAAACTGTCAGGTTAAATTTGGCTCAAACTTTAAAGGTTTTGGTAGAGTAAGAGTGGTGGTGTCACATTGGGTGGAGGGAGGTCTAGTTTCTTGAAGCAAAAACTGTAAACCTAACAATAACTTCTCAGTAATGTTTTTGGAAGTCTAAGTGATAAAATGCCCCTGTAGGAGAGTTCTCAATATTGCGGATCATCTGTCAGCAATATATGCTCATCATGTAGCACTGTGTTGTCTTTGTATTTTTACCAATTTAAGTGGCAGTCAAAGGCAGCTAAACACAGAAATTTCTCTGAGTAAGCAGTTGCCTTAGTTAACTTTTTATATCGGCATAGAAGAAAAGGGAAGTAGCTCATGCAACTGTAAGTGTGTGGATAGATGATATTTATGACAAGTTAATTCATTGCAATATATATTTTGCAAAAACTTTTCAAAAAAATTAAGTAGTAAATGAAAGTAATACTGATTAAACAACACTTTGACTAGGCCACTGAAGTCATCCAAGCTAATCAAGTATTTTGAAGCAGTGAAAAATGTATGGTTACCCACAGATACGCTTTTCAAAGGATAATTTTTTGTTGTTGCTTAAATATGGTTCTCAGACTATCTGTTGATAATCTCCTTAGGGATTCTGTCTCACAGACTTGTGATAAATGAGCAACATTGCACTGAATGCTGTTTTATATTGCCTGGATAAAAGGAAGCATCCGTATTTTCAGATTAACTGAAAGAGAACGAAATCTCAAAGTTAGCGCATTGGTTAAATGCTGATGGGACACCTAACTTGCTACTGCAGTTAAATACAAATCCAGTATTTTAAGTGCAATTTTCATCTAGCATAAACTGTTTCTCACTACCTTTATTCAGTTTTGAAATTGTTTACGTATAAAGAGCTATCAAATGTAGTCAAGTATCAGTTCCTGTTGCTTGCAGTAACATGATAGCGTTTGAAGCTTTTAGAGGAACCTATGAGTGTGTTCATATCCAGGTACTATAAACCTAGTTTTTAGGCTGAGCTGCTGCTATCTCTGAATTTTGAATCTTAACGTAGTGTGTCTTATCCAGAGTCTTGTTGCAAACAGAGGATAAACAAGGTTGCCTAGAGAAAAAGTAAAAAAAAAAAATAGGGTGTGTATGATCTTATGTATATCTTCCCTCAATTACTGGTCTTGGATCTTCCAGAGCTTGTACCAGGATCACTGTGTTGGAGAGCCACTAATGCACTGAGCTAGGAGAACGTCTGTGTCTGAACTGAGATGTACCAAAGGACTGTTTAGAGGAGAGTGAACATAAAGTCCCTGAGACTTTCTAATCCCTTACCAAGAGACAAAAGTGCAGTCTCAGAATATTGGAGGTAGCAGTGCTAAAATGTGTTGCATGAAATAGTATACTTAGCCTTGTTCTTATCTAACTAGTGTACAGAGCTGGGAAGCTATGTAAGCCAGGAGAAGGTTTCTTCCCTCTGTAAGATTCCCTTCTGTGTATCCAAGAACAGTACAGAAGTTGGAAAAATTCCTTCAATCCTGCT